TATCTTTTCAATTTCAGTTTTATATGTAATCTGTACATCCAATCTTTTAGGATGACTAATAGAAGGTTATTATAGCCATAGAGAATGATTAAATAACCTGCTCTATAAATTATGTTTCTTCATGTGAAGAGGAATTAATTGTTAGTTAATTTGGAAAAAATCTTCTAGAAATTGCTTAGTTCAAATATATTGAGGTTTAAATACAAATTTTGAGATGTTGTCATTTAAATAGTTTAAACTAGGCATACATGTCCTAAGGGCTGAAGCATCTTAATGAGACTAGGGATATCATTGCATTTTATTCTTATTTGGATTTATACTTGTGTATATATATTTTTTTTCTCTTTTGTGGGTATCTCACACCTTTATTTCCATTCTTCACATTTTGCAACAAAATATACAAAAAATAACCACATGATTTTCATTAAATTCATTACGATGCAAATCCTTTTTTTTTGGTTTCAATAATTAGTATTATTTTTTATATTTCTTTTTGAATAAATAAAATAGTTTCTAGGGGTTTGAATGCAAATAATTATTACAGAAAAATTAAATGACCCAATAAAACATTTTGGATGCTTTAGTCCAGATTTAGCAAAAAAATAATGTTTTGTGCAGATCAATTATTTCCTTTGAATCACTTTTCTTCGCACATATTTGGGAACATGCAGTAGTAAGTATTCAGTACGATAGCACGTCAGGTAGGGCAAACCTTTACTCCTATGATCAGTTATGGTAGTAAATTTAGATTTAAGGAGTTTGGTAAAGATGAACTTTTTTTCTCTTTTGTGGGTATCTCACACCTTTATTTCTATTTATTTCTGTAAATATTGTATTAATTTAGCTTTTGCTGTGACTGCAATATGTTTTGAATAAACCTTGAATAAATGAATAAATAAATTTTTCAAATTGTGATCAAAAGTGCTTGACAATAAAAATGTGGCATGCTATTCAAAAGTATAGCAGTAGCACGGTTGGAGGTTTAACACCATATACCAGATAACATCTGCGCTCTTGAGGGACAAAAATTCATGAAAAAAAATTATGAGACTAAGAGTATAAAATTATTGTCACAGGCCTTGCTGTACAGCTCTTCTTATCAAACTATGTGTCAAAACCTAAATTTAGGTCACCAAAACATTTCTGAGAGTCGCGAGACTGCTTATGACTTAAAAAAAAAAAAAGAGTCAGACTTTGGTAAAGTACATTTCAAAACAATGGAAAATACTTATACATAGTGCTCCTACAGAGGACTCACCTCAAGATAAATACCCAGACCATAGAGAAGGAAAATAGACCCAGACATAGCTACAAAGACTAAAGCCGGAAATTCATTGTCGACCCAAACCTTAAAATCTACTCTGTCCCCATCTCTTCAAGGATTGATAAGATCATTAAAATTTGACAGGAACATAGCTCACTTTTTTAAACCATCTTAGTAAAATCTTAGCTTAAAGTCCCATTCCCGGCAAAATTTCAATAAAAAAAGATTTTTTTTAGAAAAAAATGCACACATTACTTTAGTTATTATAAACCATTGAAAAATATTGACATAAATTTTAGTTTTATGCAAAAGAATAAAAAAATAAGAAATACATACTATATCTCATAGCAGATTACCATTTTCTTGACAAATTCTTCGTTACTAGGCAAATTCAGAGGTTGTAGACCGCATCTACTGGAATGCTCTCGCTTTTATGTATACTTTATACAGTCAATAAAATGTGCCCTCTCTAATGAGATTTTGTACTTGCACTCGCACATTGCGGTCGATCGAGTAGGCTTGAGATATGTTCGTTTGATTGTCAAAATCTTGGTCAGAATAATTTTTTTAACAAATTTGAAATAATTCCTATGAAATATTGTATTTCACAAGTGTCAATACTAGCAACGGAAAATATCATGTCGGCCGTTTTTATGTGTGATAACAAAACCTAAATCGTGTAAGGCTAGGCCTAGCCTAAAAGTGTTGGATAGGCTAATGTTTCCGGCACCTACCGTACTATATTTCTTCACAGACCTATCGCAAAATCAAACATAAAAAATTTATCCGTAATTTATTTTTTGTGTGGAACACACAAAAAAAATCAAATTTCAGTCTTATTTTAAATTTTTTTCATGTTTAGAAATGTCTAAATTCTGTTAAACTAGCAATTGTGTATTATATTTATAAATCTTTTATAACATAATTATATAAAAATCAGATTTTTCTTAACAACTGAAATTTTGCCGGGAATGGGGCTTTAAAAACTGTCTTAATGTCGCATGCCTACAATCAACTTTTTAATTTTAAGCAATGTTTAAGCTAAGCAATATTGATAAATCTGACTTAAGCAAAAAACAATGGACTTAAGATGAATTTAAGACAAATTTCTAGTTTGATAAATCCGGACCCGGGGCAGTACACATGCCTATTTATACATACTATCCCATGATTTAATCTGAACACATCAGACCTCACAGCACACAGCAATAGCTGTAATCATTAACTTGTACTTAGTAGTAATTAGACAGGCAATTACCTGTAATGGTGATTTGATCTGAATCCTCAGTTGTTTGTTAATTGATTTAGATCCTCAATTGGATGTGGAAAATTAAACATCAATATTTCTTTGCTGTAAGAAAACAAACACTTCATATTCGATAGTTTTAAGTATCTATTTCTGAAATTATTGATGTTTTTGTTTTGGCTGTGAATGTTAGTTCATTGTTTTGATGATATAATAATGTTGTTAATATTATTAATTTTTTTTATATTAGGCCTATGTATTATATGTGTGTTTTATGATAAGCTTGAATTTTACATGTTAAGTTATTATTTTGTATTATTTTCTTTCTTTATTTTTTTGATTTAATTTTTATCTATTTCTTATTTAAAATTTCCTTAACATCCAACTGCAAGTACTCTTTCACTAGGATGGAATGATGCTTTATAAACCAAGTCTTCTTATGGAAGGCTTATGGAGTAGAGTTGTTCTAGTCATGAGTAAATGTCCTGTTGTGATTGAACCCAGAATCCTGGAATTAGAAGGCAAGCACCTTAACCGCTAAGCCATTCAACTCCACTACATTATTATTTTAATCTATTATGCATACTTATATTATTGTCCATTGATTTTAGAAGTCTTTATTTATTTTTGTTAAATGAGAAATTTAATGCTTTAGTTTTTTATTGATATTTTATCACCGACAGTATTTAAGGTTATTCCATTGTGTAGTGGAGGTATAGCACATGATACTGGGGTCTAGGGGCGGAGCCTCAGTCGGGGTTCAGAGGGCATGTCTCCTTTGCGATCGGATGATCTGAGCATTTTTAAGCTGTTCTAAAATGATTTCAGGGAGTGTTTGTTGACAGTACCTGGTACATAAACAAAAATATTTTTAATAAAGCCATGTACAATTTGAGTTTTAAATACTTTTTACCCTGAATATTTTATAAATCGTTATCATGCATAGACTTTTGCTAAATGCATGACTAAATTTTATCACCCATGTGTTTCTGCAAAATGCATGTTTCATCCAAAATCACTTTGAAATGCAGACGGTCAGTGTGTGTTATTCTAGTGTTCTGGTAATTTCTTATTTTGTTTGATGTTATTTCTTATTCTGTTTGATGCCACTATTAAGCATATACTGTATAATAAATCTAAGAAACCATACTGTATTCATTTCCCATGGGAGTAGGAAAGCATTGTATCTATTCTAGGTTTCCTGATTATTCCGTATTCTGTTTGATGCCACTTGACATAGTTTTACTGTTGAATAAGTCTAAGAAATCTCGCTGCATTCTCTGGAGGAATCCTATAATGTTTCTTATGGGGAAAAAAAGCATTATGTGATATTCCAGTTGTTCCGGTTATTCTGTGTAGGATTATTGCGAGTGGATAGTTTGGAATAAGCTAATACAAACAATTATTTTTGTATACGATTTATATTTGTTGGAGTAAGTAGGTTTATTACCCATGGAGATTTGGTTGAAGACCTTGGTAATAATTATGATGATGATAGCAATGTCAGATCCCAATAGATAACCCATCTTTTTGGCTTTATTGGATTTTGCCGGTTTTACATTATGCTTTCTTGCTGTTTTTTTACAATTGTAACTTTTATTTTTGTTAAGCATTTACAAATTGTCACTTGGCACTGTAAAAAACTTCATAAGATGGTTTTAAAAGTTCATCCTGTAGGCATAACACTTAGGTGTCTGAATCAAATACTGTACAATAATGAATAAGACTAGTCAAAGGTTGATAAAATGAAAGAGATGATGATGGTGTTGAAGTGGACGACATTGAAGATGATGTTGATAATTTTGAGTGTCAACATTTTTCATCTTCATAAAATCTTTACGCAATCGATACGCAAATAATAAACTCCCAAATACTTTTAAAGGATACTTTACAAAAAATAATGAATAAACATAACTATGACACTAGAAACGCAAACAAGTATGTTATAAAAAACTACAATAGAACCTCGACTCGAAATTCAATAATGCACACCGGTCCTCTGCTCTGGAACTCACTTGACACATCCATCTTAAGTCACAATACCATAAATTGTTTTAAATACAATTACAAATCACACCTTATATCTAAATATAATCACTCTTAATATCCTTAATCAAAATTATTCTCTTAGTTACGTTATAGCCTAAACTCGTCAGCTTAATTACAAAATCCAATACCGTTACCCTTCTTTCTTTGTTTCTTTGTGTATGTGTTCTGTACTGTCCTTTTCCCGTTAAGAATATAATGTGGTACACTGTTCTTGTATTCTTGTATGTTTTGTATGTGTATAGCATTCACTGTATTATCAAAACTTTTAAAATTTTCAACTTTTTACTGGTGGAACCAGGCTTAAAGCCCTCCTCGGCTTATCTGGCTTTCTCCAGACATATTTGCATTCCAATTAATATAATCAATTTTTTTTCATTGTAATTCCTGATGATGTATTATGTGAATAAACTGAATTGAACTTGAACTCTTTATATTTTTCAGATTTCTAGTTTCGATCCATCAAGTGAAAATGAGTCGTTTGTCTTAATGGCTCTGTTTCATGCTGTGGAGGAAGGGAACTTAGTGGGTATCAAGGAGTTGGTTACAACTTTGACATCTTTTGATCCAGATCAAAAGAACAAGGTAAGTATCAGTTGTCTTCATTTTTTAAGGTGCCATTCTCTATTCATTTATAATAAAAGCTATTGGACCTTAGAAACACTCAAAGTGTCATCATAAAAGGCAGGGGCAAAAGAAATCTGTTGAAAAAGAAATACAACCTATGAAATACAGGAAATTGTATTTGAAGTGGCCTGAATGTTTGACTCAGACCGAACTCAGACCAAGTTGTCATTCAGATCACAACTGTATTTAAGTTGATGTTTCTATATTAATCATGGTTAGGAAATTTGTCATTTTTGTCAGTTTACAATACTACTCCTCCTTGACATTATTGTTGCTACTCTGAAAATAAAATCAGTTTTAATTGTGATATTATTTTAGGCAACCTATCAAATACAGGTAGTTGTTGATTGGTAAGACAGTCTACATTATCCTACTTTTTCAGTGTTTGCATTGTCAAGTACTGTACATGTTTTTAGAGACTGATGGTGCTTGGTATTATTGATTTAAAATATGATGTGTTATTACAACACCCTAAGTGCCAATTGATATGATTATTGATAGAATAAATGTAATATCATGATAAAACAAACAGGGGGGGCTAAGATGTCCGACTGGGGGGGGGGGCTAAGTATTTGTGGGTGTAACTATAGCCGAAGGCCCGAGCCGGGTGTGGGTATTGTGGGGTGTCCCTCCTCCTAAATCGAGAATCCCCCATTTTAGCTCATCACCCAATAGTGGCACCAGCGGAGTGCAGGGAGGCCCAAGACCCCTGTTAATCAGGCCAGGCTTCTCCCGTCTACTCAATTCCAACCAAAACAAAATATTGTATTACAGGGTACAGGGTACCGCAAAAAATCCACCATTTGGCAATATTGACACATCATGCACAATCCAGGCACTTTCTTTTCCATATGTTGCATCTATTACCATATTGCATTTTATCCTGCTGTCCTTTAAAAGGAAACATGGATGTTATTCTTGATCATTTGAATGACAATGTGCGCTGCGAATATTAGGATCTCGGTATTTGAATTACAAAACGTTGAATATTAAAAACATATTCTTAGAATCAGTAAATACCAGAGAGTACTAATAGCAGTAAATACCAATAATAAAACCTTTTTTAAGTAAAGACTTACCTCAAGTACTAGATTGCATTGATCAACAGGAACAAATTTTCCCTTGATGAGATGAGATTTCAACCCCCATCATAATGAGTGAGTGCACAGTGGTATAAATAGTATTTTAGACGATAATTAAGATATTTTATTGTACTGTAAATGGTTACTGTTACGAAAAGTCTCATGCTGGATGAATCACCATCATGAAATATTAAACGTGCCTAAATTTGTTATAAAAAATTTTAAAAACTGTAAAAATTTGAATTTATGTAAAAAATTAGCAGTGCCTCATTTCTGTGTCTTTCAGGTGATTTATATTATAATGAGCTTATGTGAGAATACCAGATAAATCTGTTTAATTCTAATATTCCTTACACGTGTACTAATGACATTATTGGTAAATTGGTTTATTGGCACAGAGACTGACATTCGACCACCTCCGTAAAGTGAAATTGACGTCGGTGATGAATGTATTAATGAATCCACAACCTGACTGAAATGATACCATTGGCTTATTAACGCTTGTCAGCTTATGTTGTAATTTGCATAAATTATGAAACTATATTAGGAGAGGTTTTCTATATAAAATGATGTTGATGGGTTTTATATATTAAACCTATTTGACAGTATTAAAAAATGTAAAAAAGGTGATAAAAAAGGTACCTCTTCATCTTTCTTTATGGCTATGGAGGTGATTTTCCTACTAAATGTTTGAAAATGTATAGGCATGTATCCTAAAAGCAGCTCAAAACATAGGGGTATATAGTAAGCTCAAACCAGTATATTCATCATTGTGCACTACCTTGTTTTTTAATACAAATATTGGATGTATCATCTTCTAGGTCGTACATCCCATGATATTATTAGTTCTCAGTTTGACAGAAATTATACTAAGTTCATTACCTGGTTGGAGTCCACCATTAGTTTAGTCTAATTTTTTTGTTTTTCAATATACCTACATGATTTTACTGTAGAGTCATTAACAAGTTGGAGTCGGACAGACTTTAATCTAATTCCTGAGTTGAAGTCCAGCAGTGTTTAATCTAATTTTTTAGCTAGGTTGGAATCAGCCAGGGTTTAGTCTGATTCCTTTGTTTTACTAATGTACCTTCATGGTTTTACCAGGTTGATTCATGGTTGATTCCAGCAGGCTTAGTCAAATTTCTGGCCTGGTTGGAGTTGGCCAGGCTTTAATATATTATTTTATATTTGGTTTTTTTTTTTATCTATTTATATCATTTTTCATTAGGTAAACACTTAGCACAATAACCAGTCTATTTTGGGCTTTAAAAAGTGGTAGGTTTCAACACAGTGGTAGATTTCAATATAGGTAATATGGGGAGGGGGATTCCCTACCTGCACTCTACTAGAGAGTTCTTGCCCTCGGCTAGAATAATTCAAATTGGAGCATACGCTGATATTTTGTGACTTCTCACCATAAAATGGCCAAAATAGGTCATGAAATTTATATTTTATGATATATTACTTTTTGACTCAATTTTTTAATTATAAAAGTGTTATATATACATATTTTCTGCTTTTCCATACTAAACTGCCAAAGCTTACATCTGGATCTACTTATTTTAGGAAATTCTTTCAAAGACCAAATAAATCTTATATAGTGATCTAGACAAATATACCATTAACAAGTTGATTTCCCAAGCAACACGATAGGAATCTCTTTGCAGATGCCTGCATATCAATGCATCTCAAAAAGCAAGTTTCATTTCAATTGAATTTTGATGACAGCATAAATAAATTAAGTATAAGTATAACTTTTTGATGACAGCATAAATGATTTTGATTCACATTCATTACTATTTGGTTCAGTGCTCTACTTTCTACTTTTCTTCATTTTTTTTTTTTTTTTTTTTTCGTGGTAGTGTTTCTTCGATAGACAGGATTTCCACATAAAATACAAGGAATAATCCTATACCGGCATTAACAATTTTAGGAAATCCAAATATTGTTTACCAATTAAAAAGAAAAGGAGTGGCAATTTACTATATTAAGCTGTTAAGTACTAGTTCATGTATCATAGTTTTCAGGGAGTGGAGATCAATTTATCAAAGTGTTAACTTTTCTCTGAGTATTACAATATTGTTTTTTTTTTCTTTTTTCCTGATCTTGTTTCCACACAACAAGAACCATGATAATGAATTATATTGAATTTCAATCGAGGGAATTTTACTGTGGGTTTACATTATGATTTACAGCTTTGCCTTGTTGATAGGAAGTGATTTTAAAAAGCTTTAGAATATTTTCTTTTTTCCTAATGGAGGAAGGGGTGGCACATGAAGCACAAGCTTTTTTGTGTATTTGTCTATAGATGGGTTTTGTAGTTTTATGTTGAAGACAATTAATAAGCATATTTTTTTAATTGTTACTAATTATTTTTTTAGCATGGGGAGACAAGTCTGCACGTTGCAGCTGGTTGTGGGTACGTGGACATTGTCAGGTTCCTTCAGTCGAAGTCTGCCTCTTTGAATGCAAAAGATAAAGTAAGTAGTGAACCTCAGATTTAAAAGTTATTATTATAATATTATTATTAGCAACTAGTAATTACAACATGCATAAATTTATCTGCTTTATAACTACTCCAACTTAGCATTGCCTATTCCTTTGGGAACGATTCTTCAATTAGCCTCTTTTAAATTGTTCCAGTAGATGGTAAAGCATATCAAAGATGCCTGGTATTTAGAATTTAGTGAATTTTTTAGTGTCTGCAGGTTATTGTTGCATGATATAGTCTATCTGGTTTTAACCAGTGTAGGTGACAGTAATTTTTGATGCACATATTGAAATATAAAATTGACTTTATAGACAGTACTAAAAGGACATGTTGATCTGTCATGTACTGTACCATCTGTTGTGTAGCACTACTACGCTCTTTGTAAATTAGCCTTTAAGTTAAGGTGTGAAATGAACATCTGGTTTGATGAGTGTATGGTTCCTGGTTTTATTAGGATATACTATGACTGCCTAATTCTGCCAAGGTATACCATTGCCACCTAGTTTTACTAAGATGTACCATAACCACCAGGTTCTGCTAAGATGTACAGTACCATAACCACCAGGCTCTGCTAAGATGTACCACAACCACCAGGTTCTGCTAAGATGTACCATAACCGCCAGGTTCTGCTAAGATGTACCATAACCGCCAGGTTCTGCTAAGATGTACCATAGCTACCTGGTTACTTAAGCTCTGTCCAGAATATCAAATTTTCTTTGACAAAAAACTTGTATTTCCATATATAGTCATGATGTACCTATATATGGTCATAATGTGATGTCATCATGACTATATTTATTTCACATGTTTTTCTCAAAATAAATGTGATAGTCTAAACAGGGCTTCAGGTGTACCATAGCCACCTAGTTGTACTAAGGTGTGCCATAGCCACCTGGTTCTACTAAGGTGTACCGTAGCCACCTGGTTCTACTAAGGTGAACCATAGCCACCTGGTTCTACTAAGGTGTACCATAGCCACCTGGTTCTATCGTGTGCAGTGACCACCTGCTTCAATAATTATATTTACTCTTTGACTTTTCTTTCTACAATGAGCTGTGGAATAAATAGATTACTTTATTCAATCTTCTTTTTTTTAAATTTATATACCTGATTTTATTATTATTTTTTTAATGATTTGTATTATAGAGAGGTGATACACCTGTACATTGGGCTGCTAGGCATGGCCATACAGCCGTTGTGGAATATTTGAGACAAGAACAATGTCCGATAAATGAACAAAATAAAGTAAGTTAAGGAATAAAGTTTGATTATTGTACAGTAGTTTATCTAGTATTTTGATAGCTGTAAGTGAGTGCAATAGGTTCCTTACCCAGTCTCCCTCTCGTTTTGGTATGCAAACATCCAATATAAATACACAGTGCTGAGTTATAATTAATACTATGGTCCCACCACCAACTTCCACTACTGGAATACAACCACTATAATATCCATCCCCTCCGAACATTTATGTCCAACCACTATGTTCAACCACCATGGTTGAATTATTATCTATTCACTAAATTGCAACCATACAGTTTTAATAAAGATAAATTATTTAGGTCTCTGTAAATTATAAATATATTTGTTTTGCTGATAAAGGCTGGTGAGACTGCTCTGCATGTGGCTGGTCGCTATGGGCAGGCTGAAGGTGTTGACCATCTATGTCACCTTGGTGTAGATACAGACGTTCAAGATGATGATGGTGAAACTGCCTTACACATCGTTGCCTGGCATGGCTACAGTAATATCGTTCAAACTATATGTGATGCTGGTGCAAATCTTAACCTCAAAAATAAGGTCAGTATTTACAAGATTATAGCACCCTCATCTCTGATTATTCTGGAGAATAATTCTGTTACATTTCTGTTACTCATAATTTGTAATAGTATCCTTCCAAAGAAGCATATTTAATTTGATATTGTTCATTAATTTTTATCAACCTCTGAAGAACCACATTTGAGTGGTCGATCTCCTTTCTATTTTGTTTAAGGTCTATTGAATACAAAATAATTAAATTAAACTAGCGTATTTGATAAGTTTAGTTTGATTGTTGAATAGGATGGTGAGACACCCCTCTTGTGTGCTTCTGCTAGAGGACATCTTGACATTGTTAAAATTCTTGTAAGAGCAGGAGCTAGACTTGACAGTCCAGACCGACATGGACTTTGTGCAATACATCTTGCCGTTAGACGGAATCATTATGACATTACTAAATTCCTTTGTGAGTCGGGATGCAACACTAACTTGAGAGACAAGGTAAATATGTGTGTTGGTTCTTCCAAGATAAGTCTTTAATTACATTTTCTGCTTGATAATGCTTATTAATAATAATAATAATATGATTTCATTGGTTTAAAAAAATATTAATAATTATAATGATAATACAAATTATGATGATACATGTTTATTAATAAAATTGTTAGTGATAACTAGATGAAGATTCATCTTGGCATGTTAATATTATTTGATGATATTGGTTTGATAATAATATTAACTAAAGTACATTATTTTATTTGTCAACATGATAAAGATATATTAATTAATAACAAAACTAATGATAGTGATATAATAATGATGATAGTTTATCATAATAGGTATTCAAGATATAGTGATATAACAACAGTGTTTGAAATAGGCACTTGCTGCTGTGACATGACAACAGTGAATAATATTCAAAATAGGCAGTCATTGCACAGTAACAATGTTAACACTCATGACAAATAGGTACTCATAGCTCAATGACACAGTGGCAATTGTCATAATAACATTCATGACATCAGTGTTCAAAATGAGCACTACTGACACTATGACACAATGACAGGGTTGATTAATGTTACGGTGACACTCACAAACAAAGGCAGGGGGGCACTAGGAGTTCCCTATAGGAGGGGTCGAAGCGGGATCCACCATCTTCCCCCGTCAGAGAAGCCTAACCCCCTCTCCCCTTCCTGTTGGGGATTAATTAAATTTGTCAGAGAATTTTTTGTTTTAAAGATGATAAAATGTTGTGTTAATTATGGGATTCTTTATTTAAAAAGGATGTCGGGGGTTCTAATCCCCCTGTCGAGGGTACTAACCCCCTGTCAAAGGTACCATCCCCCTGGTAGGGAAGAGCTGGCGCACCACTGCAGCCCATACGATTGCAATAGTATACAACACCTCGCACATACGGTAGCACTGCTCACACTAAACAGTTTTTAATCCCTTAAACAGCTTAGTAAGGCATGTTTGATTTTATTATACTTTCGGCGTTCGAGATATGATTTTTCCCCAACGGGGGGTCCAAGCAGGGTGTCTAGAGGTCCCCGCCAGGAGGTACTTTGCCCTCCTGGACCCCCCGCTAGCGCCGCCCCTGCTCACAAACACAATGTTCAGGCACAGCGACACAGTTAGACACAAAGTGAAAATAAAAGTAAGACAATCAATAAAAGTAACTTAATAATAAACATAAAACACATTTACCTTACATTTAAGTAATTACAAAATCAATGTAAATTTCATTACTAATGTACAGTTAAAGTAGCAACACTTTAATTGTACCAAACTGGAATAACAATCATGGTAAAAGAACCTTTTAGTATAGGTCTACCAAAGAAAGGAATAACCTACCAATTGACATAAGGAAAAATGCAACCAATATGAGTTTGGATATTTTCAAAAGTGCTATTTCTTAATTTTGAATTTTATCACATATTTAAATTCTTTTCTGTTTTCATTCATGTTTTATGCCTTTTGTTGTTGTTGTTTTTTTTTTAATTCTAATGATTTTGTATTTTGATTATGTTAATTTTAATCAGGTTTCTATTCCTAAAATGTTTAAAAATACCATTTGGTACCAATGGACCATTTGGGAGACCAGTACTTTTGTATTGAAAATGTATCCAGTCAAAAGAAAGAATAAATAATAAATAAAATTAAATACGAAGAAAAATAAAAAGAATACAAAATTTTTGGTTTATGGTAACGATTGAAAGATGATAAGGTCTGTTTATTCATAAACATATACTACCTTTTTTTTGTGCTCTATATTTTGGGGGAAAAATGAAATTAAGAAAATTTAAGAAATTACAAAGAAGTTTGGATAGAATGGAATGTATACTGATTTCCTTTGACTGTAGTTTGGTGAGACAGGTCTTCATGTCGCATGCAGAGATGGTAATATTGAGTTGGTACAGTTACTGCACAGTGCTTGCTGTGGATTGGATACTGCTAACAAGGTAAGCTAGCTACTCAGATCAATGAAAGAAACGTACACTTGTTTTTGACCAAATTGCCTAAAGCACACTCAGTTTCTGGTGTGCGGTTTCCATCACTCAAGTACAGTTATTTACTCAATATGCGAAAAGTACAGCTACACAATAATGAGAATAATAATGATAATCTAAGTGAAATTTTTAATATCACAATATAACAAGGTTCTATAATAGTAATATATTAGACCAAACAATACAATTCACATAAACTGTTTACACCTGAAGATTTTAGTTTTACCTTTGAAAAGTCTTCTTAATATATGATAAGTATTATGATTTATGTCATGAATAAAGTAAAATTTGTCTATTTTTTCTTGTTATTTTATTGATATTTGTAATGTAGTTTATTTGATTACTTAAAACTTTTTAGCATGGTGTTACTGCTGTACAAATGGCAGTGAAACATGGGCATATAGAAGTTGTACGTTTTCTATGTATGGCTGGATGTCGTCTAGAACATTGTAATGACGATGGATTGACTGCGGCTCAAATAGCAGGCATAGAAGGCCACGATGAACTTGTGGAGATGTTAAAGCAATTACAAGGGGTAATGTCAAAGGATGTTTTTTTTTTCTTGGCCATTTTTATCCAAACGACAGCATTCCCATTTGACAGATACTCAGAAATCATTTGTATTCATATAGTGCTGCATTAATGCCATTAATACTGAATCATATGATATGGTCACATGCTACTTAATAGCCAATTAAAAGTGGTGAGAGTTTAAGATGATTATATTTTTAACAGTCAGTGATGGATAAATGCAGATTGTCACACTGATAATTTGGTTCAGATCCTGTTTGTAAAACTCACTATTTATTAACATTATGGAAATATCAATAATTTCCTTGATGGATTTATATTTTTAGTAATTGGGAATTCTGCCAGGATAATGATAATGCACTGTGGAGTGGTCAGTGACTTAGCCTGACATGGTCTCTCTATTCTCAAAATTTGGTGGTGGTGGTCCTGATATCAAATGATTCCAGTCTATAAATTAAAAAATATGCTTAAACATCTATTTCCTTTACAATAAATATAGATTAAAGATATAACATTTTATTTGTAACATTTAAACTTAAATTTTTAGTTCTACCGAAATATCAATATGCTCTAGCATTATGTGAGTTTGTTTTGCATGGGTGCTTATTATTTGTGAGTGAACATTACCCATCATAACAGTCTATGTGGTTAATGGTGAAACATCCATTAACAAATGTATGGGAAAAACAACAAAAAAACACCTAAAGGAAATAAAATCTTGCCAAAATTTAAAAAATTTTGTATGAAATTACAAATGATGGAATTCAAGAAAGAACAAAACAAATGATTTCCAGTAAAGCCTACAACATGTGTTTGACATGCACAAGCTACTACATCACTCAGCATGTTGTCAGTCTAGCCTAGATGTTGCAATGCATCACATGTTCTCACTGATCATCCACTAGTCACATTGTCGGATGTGGTGATGCACCACTTGATGATAAATGTCATCGGAATGGATGAGATAAAACACTGTTAAGCATTTTTCATATATTGTGTATATAAGACTAACAAACATTACTTTTGACTACATACATTGTACAGTGAACTGTAACAGATAATATAAACTGTAACAGTGTAAAACAAACATACAGTACAATATTGTATGATCTTTGTACATTGCATGGCACAGTATATATAATGCAGAGATTACTGTATTTACTGCACATTATCAGACAATGTACAAACCAAATAATTGTAGGAGATTCAGTATTGAAATGATTAATTTTGTTTTTATTAGAGTCGTACGAGGGAGCTATTTATTCATCAAATGCAAACTGTCACAGCGCCACTTCCCCGCATTAAGTTGCGGTTGTTTGGGCATTCAGGTGTTGGAAAAAGCACTTTGATAGATTCACTTAAGTGCGGTATGTTGAAAGGCTTCCTAAAACGCTCCAAGTCCAATCTGTCACTCTTAGGACGGAATTCCTCACGGAAACAACCCTCCTTGAATGAAAGTTTGGCAAGAAGTAGAAGACATAGCTCAATGTCATCTGTAAAAACCAACACAGATTACAACAGTACCAAAGGTATTGAAATAACCAGTGCCAGCATACCAGGTACGTATATTACATTTCACTGTTCCCTGGTAAAACATAGAAATTCAATATCATTTGAACTACTAATAATGCCAGCTTACCAGCATCGTATACTACATCATTTGAAGTTTGTTTTTTTTGTGTGTGTGTGTTGTTTTATAATTCAAATGTTTTTCATTTTTGTGAATCCTGTACTGGGTTTCCGTTTTATTTTTTGAATTTAAATGAATTTTTAACTTTGTTTTCTAGGAGCTGGTGAGTTCAGTATTTGGGAGTTCTCTGGAGCAGAGCCTTTCCACATTTCCCATCATCATTTTATCGATCATGGAAGCAACAGCATTAATGTGATATGTTTCAGTCTATATGACTCTTTTGAAGAGCAAGTTGAGCAAGTGACATATTGGTTGAATTACATTAAGTCAACATTACCAGCAAATGAGCCTATAGGTACTGTAATGTACATTTCATATATTTGTTTATTCAAACAAGTGCTTTTGGGCCCAAAAGCAACAAAATCACCATGACAAAATCTGGAGCCTCAACTTAACTACATGCTTAGCTGTAATATAAAAACATAAATTCAAAAATATAAAATAATGAAAGCATATACTGTAAATACTAATAATGATAACAATATAATAATATGTAAGAACAATAAAAATAATAATAATTATGGTATTGATACTAAATCTATCTGTTTAATGTTTTTAATTTTTTCTTTGAATATTCAATCTACTCTACATTCTTTTTTCAACCTGAATTTTAATTTTCATATTTTCAGGATATTGTGGAAAATATTCAAATCAACTTCGAATCTTGCTTGTTGCTACTCATGCTGATCTTCGCAGCTGCCCAAAATTGTCGTCCGGAGAAAGTGTCAGCGGCGAAGGCAACATCATTCTGTATCAAATGAAGAAACGCTTTGGTCGTTTGTTTGACATCAGTGAGATGTTGTTTGTAATGGACACTAAAAACCCTCAGTCAAAGGACATGAAGCTCCTACGACAGCATCTTGGCAATACAAAAAATGCTATTGTTCAGGTAAAGTTACCAACAGAGGGCAGCAGACAATGTTGAATGAAAATAGTTTTAAGATAGAGAACAGCACCTTAGGACTTTATTGTGTTGTGTGAAATCAATATTGATATCTAATCCAGCTGTGGCTCCAGAAATTTGCCGACAAGGGGTCCAACGTACAGGTCCTGGTCCTGGAATAAAAAAAATCCTGATAGGGTTCACGGGGAGAGTTTTAATGGCTTAGTATGTTCCAAATTGGCCTTTTAAGGGATAAGGGATTGGTAATCAAAATATCTTTATTTGGATAGGCAAATTATTATTTCTTTTATTTTTGATCCAACGACCTCATCGGGGCGTCGGACAATGGGGGTCAAGACCTGTCCCACGGGGAAAGTTCCCCCTGCCCCGCCCCCACTGGCGCCACCACTGAAATGATCGTTACTTTTTGTAGTATGGTATGAATGTTATCACTACTTAGTAAGTATTAATAGTACTTTATAAATAATGTTAATGTATCAAATGAATGTTCCTTTCAAAAAGTAATACTGTAATTAGTGTTATCCCTAGATTTGTTAACCTAGTCAAAAGCTACATTGCTCCAATCTATTACAACTCCCTATCTCTCTGTCTCTCACTGTTGGCCATTCTATTATTCTTTTACAGCTAATCTGCTGGTGTTTTTTTTTGTTTTTTTTTTTTCCTTTATGATGTCACTATGATAAGTATATACACTTTATATTGTCTTGCTTTTTAGAATTTATGATTTTCATTCCATAATCCATTCTCACAAAATATTGTTGAAATAAAAGGAATAAATATAAATATATTGTTATTTCAGAATGAGCCATACATGACTGTATTGTGTGAATCAGTTGTGATAGCACTGAATAGTTGGAGAAAGTCTTACGCCGACTTCCCTGTGATGTCAACCCAGCAGCTGGTTGACGTAATTCATTCTGATGTGAATCCATTAGCCAATGATGTCCAGCTTAAAGAAGTGATTCAGCAGTTGAAGTCAATGGGTGAGGTAAGGACCACTATGTGAACCAATCTTTACCCCATCCAGATCAGTAACTTCACCATGGTGATTGCATTATGGAGTTACTAGAGAAAGAGATCACTTGGCAACAGGTCTCTTTCCTATTGCTATGTTCAACCCCACCCCCTTTGAATTTCCTGGCTTCATGATGAATTGCTTTACCAGCCAGTAAAATTGACTGTACACAAATACTTAAACAATTTTCAAATATATGTTTTTATAGCTTGCTGAGAAACAAAGGAATTGTATAACTGAATTTATGTCCTTTGGGAGCTTTGCTCAGTTACATAAAGTGATCAGGTAATCTTCTCACTACTACAGTATAATATTCATGTAGCCATCAAGGTCATTGACATTCTCATAAAGTTATAGCAACCATGGGGTCATTCTCCATAAGTTGAAAGTTCCCAATTAATAACAGATCACCTGATCACTTAGACATTTCAGCGATGCTCAGTAATAAAATAATTAAAAAGTTAAGCGCAAAAAAAATAAGGCAGTGGACTAGATTCTCATAAGATCTCTTTCCTAATTATTTTAATAGGTACACCACTTTAAGAATGAACTCCTGCATGACTTACTAGTCATTGATCCACGATGGATGACCTCATCAGTGTTGGGTCAATTGCTGTCTTTTGAATTCTCTGATCAGCCATTTGGTTTATACAGCATCCACTATATGCAGTCACTCTTTCCTCAAGCTGATGCCATGGATATCATTCAGCTCCTTGAAGCTATGGACATATGTGTGCATGAAGCAGTGTGTGAGTTTCCTTCCCTTCTTCATACAAACCGTCCACAATTCATTTGGGAGAAGCAGGATGGGTCTGGTTTAGTTTATGGAGGCACCCGACTTCAACTGTCAGACAGTGGTTGCGTTTTACCGATTGGTGCATTTGCGGAAATACAGGTCTCCTTGCGTAAGAACTTTCACCAGGATGTTGATGATCCTGAAACCGAACTTATTTTATGGCGCCACGGTGCTAAGTGTTCAACTGCATCAATGGAAGCATTGTTGACACTTACAAATGAAGGACAGAGTGTGGAGATTGTTGTCAGAGGTTTGGAGGAAGCACAGCAAGGTTGCTTTGTGTTTATGGAAGATTTTGTCCACTTGGTTGAACAGGTGTTTGCAGAGTTATATCCAGGTTTGATGTTGAACCGTGACGTTATCAGTGCAGCTCAATTAAAGGAGCATCACAGATGCATGATGGTCTATGAAGGTAGAAAGATCTACAAGGCTCTACGAGATCACCAAGTCAGTATGTACAATGAAGTCACAGAAACAAGCGAGTACTTTATGGATTTACTTTTTTTTGGTAGTACAGAAATTGACACAAACATCATATCAGGACCATATCTTCATGTGTCTCAGCTACATCCATATACCCTCAGGCAGTTAAGTATGCTCTTAGACCCTCCAGATCCAATGGGGAAAGATTGGTGTCTATTAGCAGTAACCATTGGCTTGGTAGAAAAGATTCCAGAGCTGGATACTACTGACAGACCGTTCAGTAAGGATGAGTCAGACAGCCCTACTGTTAGAACATTAGTAGAATGGGGTGTGGATCCCGAAAATACTGTTGGAAAACTGATAGAGCACCTGAATGACCTTGTACGTGATGATGCTGTTAGGGTCATCTTAGAGACTGCGCCATTATTCAGATTTGTACCTGAAACTCAAGTGAGTGAGGAAGCTCAAAGAACGAGCACTGCTTCAAGTAGCAGTGTGGTATCCAGGTGACTAATGGTGTCAAGGTGATGATTAGTCTCTTAAGTATTGATCAGATAGATATCCTATGAGGACCAGTAAGTCTGATGAAGCCTTACCACTTGATTACTAATTACTAGGTGACAGCTTATGTATCAAAGAAATGACTGATGTCCACCTGATTGTTGCCTGGTATCGAGGTAACAAATAGAATCTAGGTGATGATTTTGTACCTTAGTATTAATCGGGTATTATATGAGGAATATAATAATTGGATTACTGGTTACTCTGACAGCTTACAATAATATTGACATCTGTATTATCTATGGTGTTTGATGTGTGTAAATTCAGCATCTTACATCCGTATGTATAAGAGGCACTTTATAGATTCTTATTGATATTATATCATCATCATCACTATCAAGATGATGATGTGATCTATTATTATTATTATTATTATTATTTATTATTATTATTATTATTATTATTATTTATTATTATTATTACAGTATTATTATATTGGTGAAATAGTAAATTGTATTATAAATGAACAAACCTTAAAATTAAAAATGTAAATAATGTTTTTTATGTATCATATTATGTACAAATCATTTTTGAAACTTTTTTCAGTGCAATTTTACATTTTCTACACTTGGCTTTATTTAGGCTTGATGCTTTTTTTGTCTCCTTTCCCTTCACCATCACAGGCCCCTGACAATCATATACCCATCATCATAAGCCATCCATTTTAACATGGACAAACATAGTTTTGTTATTTAATGACTTTGTAATAAATGTAATGGACTAAAGCATTGGTGCTCCTAATATTTTGGTGCTCTATATAGCTTCACTCAGTATATTAATACTGTAAAACTTCATGTTTAAATATTTCCTATATTTTGTGTTCAGTTTATGAGATACAACTCATTATTATATTTAACAACCTATTTTTAAAATGTTATGCAGCAGAAGGGAATCAAATTCCAGGTGATTGGTGAATTCGTTTTTAATTTGTTTTTCCATTATTGGTATGTAATATTTCATTCAAATCCTGAATTCCTACAGTAATTATCTATCCTCCTGTTTTATTTGATTTTGTTTTAACTGGATTCAATCCATTTGGAACCAGATCTAATTTGATGTAATGTAATGTAATGTAGTTAGATTTATATAGCGCATTATACCAATGTCTCAAAGCACTTGAAGTATGGGCTAGTTTGTACAGCATCTCCCTTCTCCCCTAAGGGTCAATTCATGTCTGCCTGTGCCATCTACTCTTGTTTGTCCACAACTGGGGCTAGTAAAAAGTGGACCAGTACACCTGGGTAACCCCCTACTCATCTCAAAGTGCACACAAGCCAATTGTGTACACTGGGCCTACGGTTTGTAGGCCTTATCCAAGAAGACTTGTTCCACCACCAGAACAATAGGGGAGCGTGTCTTTCATTGCAGCACCCTTGATTAACAACTCCGCCATACAACTGTGATTTCATTCACTTGAATGCACCAGCTTACTCCACCTGGACCCAATTCGCCTGTATATGGATTCACCTGTTCCAGGTGTCAATTTGTTTTCTTTGTAATTTTATTTTCTATTACAATCTCATTTGTTTTGTATTTATTTTGATATGGATATTGTCTTGAAATAAAAAGAAATTTATTGATTGAATTCAGGTGAATGATAAAAATGGGAAAAGACCTATTTTTTATAGGCCTAGATTTGAGACTTGTTCCTCTTTAAATTTAAGACTGATTTATAGATTTGAGTGGAGCTCCGGCCCCCCTTGAATCCGCCTGTGATTCAGTTCTTTAAAGATATGAATCTCAATCGTATATAAATTTGAGATGCAATACTCTACATAGAGATTTAAGCAGTGTTCAGTCATAGATGTATTCATAATCATATGTGGGACTGCTAGAGCATGGTCATGGTCTATGAATATTGGAACAATATATATGTATAGGTGTAATTTCTCCTGACGCAAATCCAGTTATTGTCTATTATTCCATCACGACAATAACAATTACTATCAATATATTAATACAGATGTTTCATAATAATCAATTTATAGATAAACTGTGTGTATCAAGCTGAATTGCTGACTGTTTACATTATAGTAAGCAGGGGTGGTGCCAGTGCGGGGCCAGTCCTCCGCCAGAAGAAAAACCTCAATTTGTCGGGGAGAAAAATTTTTAATGTATTTTCTACATACATACATACATACATACATACATGCTCTAAAATCTATTAGAATAAGCGTTGAAACCACTGAACTGTCATAATTTTCGGGGATTTCGCCCACTGGACCACATCCAAAGATTTTAAGCATCCAGGACCACACCCACTCAGGGTCATCACTCCCACCCCTGTCGGGCAAATCCTGGCGCCAGTAAGTAATTAGCTTTCAGTTTACTTTATTTTATCATTTTAAACTAGTAGTTTGATGGTTCAATTTAATCATATGAATATGAGTTGAACAATATTATTGCAAACAATTGCAGAGTTTAAGAGAACAATTCAATGTTTGTTTTTTTTTTTAAGACAACAAACAAAAAATACAAATATCAACTGTTGAGGGTTTGCATATTTTAGCAGACAACATACACTTAAGCATCCATTTAAGTATTAACATTTAAAACTAGTTCAAATGATCAAATAAGAATAAGAATCAATGTATTTTAGTGTGAAGTTGTTTGTTATCCTGTCTTCCAATCATTTGAAAATACTTCCTCAGATTCTCACATGGTAGGCCTATCTTATAATAATATTAATTTTAAAAAAGGGAAAGAGACTAATGTTTTAACAGGGTATTTTTTGTGTGATCCTACATTGTAATTCTTGTTAATGAATTGCCGATGTAATCCCATTATACCATTTAACGAACAAATAAAAGAAAGTCATACAACAAGAGGTTTATTGTTGGATAATTCTTATAATTATCGGATGATTGTTGGATAAGTCTGTTTTGTTGCATCCGTCACTTTTGCACATTACAAGCAGGTACGAGGTACAATAGTCGCATGCCTTTACATGTCTTTGTAAGATCTCTAACCGCAATCAAACCAGTGGCGTATCTAGGGGGATTGAAATGGGGGAGTTCATGGGGTTGCGAAGGTGAAGTGGGAGGGGGGTCAACGATAAGTGAACAGGAGCTATCTGGCAAAGTAAGGTGGTATATTAGGTGATTTGTAAGTACTTTAGCATAGGCTAATTTGTTTGCTTCCAAAATTTCCAGTGAGGGGGTGAGAGCGAGCTCTTTTTTTGGAGGATACTAGATACGCCACTGATCAAAACCATACCTAACACTTTCATTAATTTTTTATCTCAGCCAACAGCAAATGCAAACAAGAAATGCCACTTGTGGGAACATGCACATGAAAAGCAATAAACATGAAATCGAATCCGTAAAGGCCTATATAATCGATTTCATGAACGATGCTTTGGCATCTAAATCGAGATTAATCACTTAAACAGTAGCTGTTGCCTTCTCAACAATATTAAATTCACCAATGCGTCATTTACTTAATACAATAAATGGAAATTCCTGCTTTATTTAACAATTGAGTAGGATGATGAAGAGAGAATCAAGCTCAGTAAATTTTTTTAAATTTTGAGGGTATTAGACAAATATCTGAATACAGTACCTCCTCCGCTGAACTGATACATACCATATATGCACATATCAAATATTAATATAGCACATTAAAAATAGTTTCTTTGTTACAGCAAATAAATTGTATATTTTGTGAAAAGGGTGGTATTGTACTGCTATTATAAAGAGGAGGGACATATCAATCTGAAACGACGCAAAAATAGTATACATAGCAAAAATAGCGACAATCTCCTAGAGCACTGTGTCGGATCATTGTATATCCAAAATAGCAGTTCAAGCACTGTGAAGTGACCAAAAATGCTGCATAGGAAAGATATAGCACATCACAAATAGTTTATTTGCTACCAGGGGCGGATCTAGAGATGTCCAAAATAGCAAAGCAAATAATATTTAATTTAATTATATGTTATTTCAAATTGCCATATGTCGAACAATTCTCCACAATCACCAAAAAACGTATCAACGACATCACAAAGAAATACTGTAATAATTTACAAATCAACGTTAGTTTCGACTCATTCAAGATTGGTAAACCGTACTCGCGTGAATAAGCGCCCCATTCGAATAAGCGCCCCCTTGTAATTTGAATAAATGCCCCCTCAATTTCCCAATCAATCCTGGGACTGTGGATGTTGGCATGATTTGAGGTGTGGAATGGAATCACTCCTTTAGTCAATATCAAAGTGAGGATATTTATCTTTGACAGAATGATGAGAGCTCCCTGGACAGACAGTATATTTCAAACTTTCATCTTCTTAGATTTTCATTTGTCTATAGCCTAGTCCTACTACTCCTTTTCCGACAATTTGCACCTTTAACACATTCTCATCTAAGTTTTCAAGAAAACCTGCAATGATCATGCCGTCCTGCTATTCTCAATCGACCAATGGCGAACAAGCTAACCACCACCACTAATTTCATCTGCTATTCTGCTGTTATGTAATACTGTACTCACAATATTCTTGTCATGACAAGCCATGCTCTCTGGACGATTATCTTTTCCGCCGCAGCACCATTCGTAATTTGCGGTTTCCTTCAAAATGTACCTCTTGGATATAATAAGTTCTCATAAGAACCCCTCGATTTTCATCTATTTCCATAAGCGCCCCCTCAATTTTCACTCTGTTTTTATAAGCGCCCCGTTCGAATAAGCGCCCGTTTGAATAGTGCAAAAAATATTTTAAGCGCTTATTCGCGCGAGTACGGTATTTAGTACGGTACCAAAGATCCCATTCCTAAGACTCAATGCTCTATGTTTCTGATGCTAAAATGTGCTGCATATAGTGCATATTGGCGAAACTACTCATCAATTACGAACAAGGGTTATTGAGCACCGAGCTATCTGTTTATATTTTGTATCTTAATCAATTTGTGTTCCGCATGAGTCCAGCTTCAATGATAGTACATAGTCTTCTCATTGTTTTTACATTATATATGTATGTAAGTATGTATGCATGTGTGTATGTATATATGTATGTATGTACGCATACATATATGTGTATGTACGCATACATATATACATGTACGTATACACACACAAACACACACACAATAGTGTCATGCCTTTCAACCAAAATTATCAAAACCAGTGGCATACCTAGGAGGATTGAAATTGGGAAGTTCACGGGTGTGCGAGGGTGAAGTGGGAGAGTTCAATAATAAAGTGAGGGGGATAGCTGGCAAACTAAGATGGTGTGACGTAGTTTCAAACTACTTTAGAATATTTTTCTTGCTTCAAAAATGTTCAGTGGGTGGGGCGAGCTTTTTTGGGATGGAATGCGCGTGGCCGTGCCACCTAGCTACGCACGTTACTGATCAAAGCAGAACCATACCTAACACTTTTATTTATTTATTTAGGCCTATTTTATCTCATTCTCAGGCAACAGCAAATGCAAAAAACCACTCAGA